CCACAGTTTTTGTGCTTCTTCCTTCTGAGACAGATCACAGCTATCATTGAGGAAGTTTGGTATCCAAGTTGTTACTGGCTGGAGAATGTATGATACAGGAAAACAGTTTTCATCCATCTTGTACCACCTACAATCATAAAAAAAACTGTTGATATCAGACTTGTATGACCAAAAGATATAAGAGCCATCAAATTAAGTGCCTTGTGAGTATTTAGCCTGTTGGATGAATTTAGGACATTTACCCATCAGGGTAAATCCTTGAATTACCACCTGTGTACACAAAAGGGCCTTCTCTAAATATACATTAAATGCTATCATACAAAAAAAAAAACATCATGTCTGCTAGGATTAGCATAAATTAAATAAGCCTCCCTGCCTTCTCCACTGCTTCCTTTCTTACTTGGTTAGAAGTTCATGTATTTTGTTTTCCGAGCCTTTACTGAGAATCAACTCAAACTCCTGAGCAGTAATTGATGGCATTAAGGGTCGATAACCATACTTTTCTGACAGCAAAGTCTGTTAAAAGAAAAGTTCACAAAATAGAAATCACTCGTAAAGTATATAAATGCACTCTTAGTCATTTCCTTAGTTCAGGCAAACTTTTTATTGAAGAATTTCTTGTAATGTTTATTTCCCTCCAGCCTAAATTAGCTATGCTATTTTGCAGGTAGGGATTGTTAGATAATTTTGTATTTTAATTCCTAACTAGGTAATTAAATTTTGTTGTTGTTGTTGTTAGCAGTGAATATTTTTATGTGGAAATTAAATGACAATCAATTACCACATGTAATTGGTATTATTTAATTCATATCATATAATAGAAGTCTCTTTATTAACCTCTAAAGAAAGGAAAATGAGTTTTTGATCAATCCAAATACTCACCACAAAATTTGGTCCTACAGAGATTTCTTGACAGGCTTTGATTTCCCGTAAACACAGCTCAGTTGTCATGTGTGCATCTGTAGCATCATCTCGTACTCCCCAGCGCATGTCTACAACCTGAAGTTAAAAAAAAAAAGAAAAAACAGTCATGAGGTCGGTGCTTAATTTGTTAAAAAGAAGTAATGCATATTAGGAATCTTTTTATTAGATCATGCCCTTTACTGGTAGTGAGGGGTATCTGTCAGTAAATAGTCTGTTTAATTGACTGATGGTTGGTCAATGTCAGTCTTGATGCCTTGATACTAATGGCTAAGAACATTTCTCAGACATCAACTGACTACTGATCCAGTTTCTCTCACCCTTCATCAAGTAGCAATCAACTTCAATATCAACCAAATACTGACAGATACATGGATAATTCATGACACAGAAGTCTTACTTGATTGCATATGTTATTTACATTTAGGCTGTTTGGTAAGCATTCAGGAGATCAGAGAATTCTCTAGCTACAACACAGATTTCTCTTGTAAAATTACAAACTGCTGTTTTTAACCAACACTTAGATTATGTCCTTCAGTTATTTTTCATTACATTTTACCCCTCACATGATATTTCTTATAAATGAAAACCCTTGATTGACAGATTGGTTTGGATCAGTAGCAGAGTCTGAGGGAGATTTATTAATAACATACAACAAAGAATATGCTCTATGATCTAGAAAATACTCAATTTTAGATTTCTACCCACAACTCTGTGGCTAGCAAATGATTATGTAGAATACAACAACTAATAAAAAGATCCTCATTATAATAATTAATTACTTTTAAGCTGAGATTCACCTGGAATTCGTAGCCTCTCTTCTCACAAAATTGTCTCAGTTTTGGATATACATGCTCCATGAGAGCATTACGCTCATGTTCAGTGTCTACAAGTTAGAAAACAATGAACATAGTTTATCTTTAGAATGTAATACAACACAAGAACACAAGATGGAATAAACATTAGCAGTACCTTTAATCACTCTGTATCTCCAACATACCATAGTCAGCCTATACACTATATAAAAGGAAGTATGTTCCTCTCCCATTTGGTTTAAGTCATCTCCCTTTTAGCTAAGTAATGTTAAGTGCCATTCCTTACCAGTGAACGTGGAGCTAAGGAAGATACGAACAGTCCTTGAATTCAGAGGGCAGTTTTCTTCTATGAAACCTCTCAAAACTCTCTCAACCCTTTGACCTAAATCAGATCTAGAAAACAAAAAACATATCCACTGACTACTATGATTACTTTGGGAAAATTTGTTACATTCATAGTAAAACTGGTTTACCTTTTTATAAAGTCTAGTAACCTAAAAGAGCCACATCCTCATAAAAGGAACTGGATACTTAAGCCTGTTTTGACTGCAAAAATAACCTCTTACCAGAGGCCTGTTAACAAGTCAAAAATGGCTTTTGTACAAAACTCAACTATTGACTGCAAAATGACATGACATACATGTACCTTTTTTAAACTGTGGTAACATACATGCAAAATAAATCACATTATATGATTCAAACTTACCCGGTTGAGAGCTGGACACTCTTACGAGCAACATTTTGTTGGTCATTACCATTTGGAGCTTTCTTCGGTGGAACAGTTTTTGATGCAGGTTTCTTTGACTCTGAAGTTTTTGTGACTTTATTTACAGCTGGTTTGCCTTTATCACCAGATTTTTCTAGCTTAACAGGTTTTGGAGAAGAATTTTTTGACTCACTGGGTTTCCCTTTCTCTTTTCCTTTTTTAGAAGATTCTTTTGTGGTGGTAGTTGAAGTCTGAGAAACAGACTTCTTGTTACTTTTCAATTGCCTGTAACACAGAATGATTATATCGTCTCTTTAACCTTTAATTCCCAGAAGTGATTGACATGTAATGTCTCCCTATAATATCCATACATTATTTAGCAAACAGGTAATGAGAATACATAAACATATCAGGTAGAAGTTATTATCTTGATCTAATACCAAATTATTGCAAATATTTACAAGGAAATGTGTAGCACCGGGAGGGGAGAATTAGTAATCAGATCTCAGGTGTTAAAGGGTTAAGAAAATTCAATGAAGGACTTGAATCACAGTTATAGGATTACAAACCCTTTGACTCCCAGATTAAATTTGTAATTCTCCTTACTGTCAAGTATACAATTCTTATAATGTAGTTCAGAGAATTTAGTATTGAATCAACTAATTATCCCCAAGGTGATCTTTTTCTTTATTCTCATTACTTATCTGGTTGATATTGTATAGATATTGTAAGGAGAAATTTTATCTTGGTCACTTATGAGAGTTAAAGGGTTAATCTTAAAGCTGCCAAAGAAAGTTTGAAGAGGAAGACCTTTGTTTGCTGCTCTTAGGAAATGAGCAAAACGAGTGAGAGTTTAGAGAGAGAGACTTACTGAGAGTTCATAAAAGGATACGTTTTTCAAATATGCTTTTAGTTTAATTTGGTTATTTGTTGGTTTTTGATTTGTAATTGTTGTTGTGCAAACACCTTGCGACTCCCTTAAGTCAATTCCCTTCACTCAGTAGATAATCTCAGACACAAAATTACGACTAATGGACTCTTGACAATTTAAGCTCCAGTGTCTAATTACCAAGACTCAGTAAGTAACAATTTGAGTTTTTTCGGTGAAGTCTATCATTTCTATTCATTTGAAGTGACTCACGTTATATCTATCTTTTGTACTTTACATTTGTGATAACTTGGATCTTGATCATTTCTGTAAATAAGTGAGAGTAACCTTTGATTTTGTGCAGTAATGGTAATATCAGCCATGCGAACTCGGCGTTTGAACTTGGCCTTAGATGAAAAAAGTTAATGTGATTTTGATTGAGAAGTTTAGTTGCCGGGTTCAATATTCAATCACCAAATTAAATTATGAAAAGTCAAAAGTAAGAGTAAAGTAGAGTTACTTTTGCAGCAATACCTTCCTTCGACCTCCATATCATTGGAACCCCCAGCCTGAGTATTCTGTCCTTCGCTTGGAGCCAAGTCTGACGCTGAAGACTTACGAGAAGGCGTATTCTTTTTCAATCTGACAGTACCCACAACTGCGTGTACAGTCGCCCGGGTACCCTTCGAACTCACCCCCGACCCCATCTCTCAACTGAAGGAAAGACACAAATTGAGGATTAAGAAATATATAAACAAAGATATCACTAGGAAAGGACGTCATATGTTTGATAGTCATCACCTGCAGACTTGACTGAGTTCAATTCAGCTGTTCAAACACAAATTTACAACTGGACCGCATGCCGTCGATCGGCCGTCCTGATCAAAGATTCCTCAACATGTTGAGGCGGACAATCGAAGACAACCTTCATCTCATTAATAAGAATTACTTGTCCTAGACAAAAACGCAGGCTTGACAAACATGCATACAGAATGAGAACCCGGAACAACAGCAATAGGTAAACACGCTGAGTCAGGGATGAGTGCGGTTTGGGAAGAGTCTTTGTGTAATGCTATCGAATTATCCCAAACTGTTTTAGTAACTGTTAAGGAAAATCGTGGAACCTGACATCAGGCACCTCTAAGTGTCCGTGAGAATTTTGAAATTCTTCACATCAGTTTTAAACCCTCATTTGCAAGATTCTCATGCTGGATGATAAATATTCTTCAATCTTTCCTGTTTATAGAGACTCTAAAGACCCTTTACAGCATGATATACTCTCCTAGCCTGATCTTGCCACTTGCAAATGGCTTCTTAATCGGCTAGGGTTCTTTTAGTTGTGTTGCTAAAGCATGTAAAACAGAATAAATGGCAAAAAATCTACTCAGAGGGCTGACGCTCGAATCGCTTGCATCATAAACTCAGCTGATAAAACCCAAACTCAGATGTCCCCTCTATCATCCCACAACCATCCCAGTGAGGCCGGAGAGGGTCACTCCTTTGCTCCACAATTCTCTCTTAACGTTTATTTGCACATCTAATAATGTAACCATATTAATGGAGAGTGATCTCTTCTCTCCTGGAAAGAAACCTAGTTTCCAGTAAGTCATTGGGTTTCTAGGGAGAAAATGACATTTGATCGTAGAGTGTAGACTGGTTAATCTGAGCCCGCGATGATTCCATCGGAGTGGCAATATGGATTCCAAGAAAGGAGAGGAACCACCTCTAACACGATACAGAGGATCTTTCCAACCCGAAACAGCAATTTTTGGCGCCTAAACTCTTAAATGAAATGGATAAATGCTCAGGAAAGGAAAATAATATCTCATCGGACGACATATTGAAAGCTTTAGATCGTTTCGGTAATGGCTCCAAAACTCCAAGCCCTGTTGGGGAAGACAGAGGTAGGCATCGGAAGTCTCGATTTGAGTTAGTTTTGTCGTAAGTGATGACAATTTTCCGCTATGTCTGTATGTGGTAAAGAACAATATAGTACATTTTTTTAGCGGTATTAGTTTGAAAATGTGTGAAGGAAAACTTGATCAAGATCTTCTTCGATCGACCCGATGTTTACAATCAGTTACAATGTTGCTTCATGTGATATGCGTCATGTCATTTACCTTATTGAAGTTACGTTATAAATGGATTGTCGATCTTGACTTATTCAGTCTTCGAATAGAGAGATATTTCCGTTAGCTTTCTTCCCGGAATTACCAATTATTTTTATTATGTGCGACGTTATGAACTCACTTCGAATGAGCATACAGTGAACTTTGCAGACGACAACATATGCTGGTGGTCCAATTTCAATTCCGGTTCTTGGGAAAAAATTGACACATGAAGTCGATTTTCCGTTTCAGTATAAATAATAGTTTTGCGCTTGAAATCAAATCAACTCAGATTAATTCTGAAGTGAACTTTGAGGTTGAAGTGAGCGCACTGAACTAAAGATTAACTAAGAGAACTAAGCTTATTTTGTTTAAATTTGACTCGATTCAAAGTAAAAATGTCTCAAGACGTCCTAGCTTTTTTTAGATTTAATGAAGCCATTTTCTTCCAAAGGGTAGTTTGTCAAAACATTTTACAGCGCAGTTTTTTTTAAATGGCCGCTGAATAAAATGTAAAATTGTTTTTTCCTTTAACAAGGATGAAACTGTGTGGTAATTTCTTGTGAAGATGAGCGTTTTTATTGCCTATCCAAATCTGTTTTTTTTTTGCGCGATTTTCTCGCCGCAGTACGATTTGTTTCAGTTAGTTTTAAGTCGGTCTCCTCTGACGGAAGAAATATTATTTCATTACCAAGAAAGTAAGAAGGACTATCATGTTTAATAATTCAGTATCCTAGATAAATAGTTTTCTGTTGAAGAAAATCCCAGAAACTGATGCAAATGCAAGTTCTGATAATTAAGAATTCAAAACTGTCATATGTAGTTCATGCATGTATATTAAGCAATTTTAGATCTTTGAAGACTGAATAATCATGGTTCTGAAATCATACTTAATTCAAAAAGTCTTTTCTTTATTTATTTTTTTAACCTTAAAATTGATCTAATCTAAAATTTTTGGAGTAACAAAAACTATATTCTAATCATGGTATTGAATTTTCTTTTCTTCCCATTGGAATATGATCATATTTTGTCCTAAAATTAACACTTTCTAAAACAACAGACAGTAGTCACGAAGAAATTATTGTTTCTGTTGGCAGCAGACAATGAGCAAACTGATCATGACTGTGTGCATCAAACACTAAAGCAATGTCAATAATTTAAATTTTTTGAAAGCATTTATAAATGAATCAAAGAATTTTTTGACACAACCGAGAAAGAAGAAACAAGTTATTTTTGTTCTGCCATTAATTTTTGAGAAAACAATTTTTTTTGTTTTGTGTTAAGGTTTATCCTTTGGGATCAAAACAATGCTAGAGTAGACATCTATAACATGATGTCGCTATCGTACAAAAGATCTACAATTATTATAATCATTTTATGTGGATGAGAACAGTCAAAGTATAAAGTTGCATTAAAATGTAGGATTCTTCTCGAACTTCTGTTAATTACACAATCCATCACAGCATTGTTTTTTATTAAGGTTATGGTTTTGTGGTCATTTATATTAATGAGATCAGTCAAAATAAAAAATTGTATTCAAATCTGGGGGTTTTCTAAACTTCAGTTATTTCTGTAACCCATCATATCTTTGTTTCTTGAATTAAGATCATTATTAATTTTAGATTTTTCTAAGAGCTAATGGTAGTGATTATGGATTTGGTTGATTAATTTTTTAAGGTTTTTGAAAGTTTTTTTTTTTTAGTAAAGAGAATTTATTTTTTTACTTGCCAGAAGTGTGAATATATTACTTTTTGTTTATGAAACAAACATGATTGCTTTGTGCCACCATCTCAACCAATCAGATTCAAACTAAATCCAATCACAGCTTAGTCACTCAGATATTCCCAGGCTTCACGTAGTTTTCTTGATTTCACTTTGAGTCCTTATTGGTTAATGATAATGTAATTCCTAATTGTAATATGGTGGCTGGTTTTACCCAGTTTGTGTTGGTTTTTCATTACCCAGTGGAAAACTGCTCTACCTGTATGCTATTGATAAAAAAGTTATAATGTAAAAAAGCAGAACTTGAAAAAGAGAGTTTTGATATATTTAGAAACCACTACATGTTATCAACTTAAATTGCATTTTGCAGGTGATCCATCAGTGCTAGGAAGATTGTCATTTCTTGAAGATCCTCTTGGTACACAAAGACTCAGTTTTATTTCTGCTGATGGAAGTGAAATTGACTCAGATTACAGCTCAGCCAGTTCAGTGGCTCATTTATCTGAGGAGCAGAAAACCTTAGAGTATGTTTTTCTTTCCATTATGAAACCTGATATTTAACCCTTTAACTCCCTTATGTGACAAAGACAGTTTTTTTCCTTCCAATGTTCTTATTATTGTTCAAATTTGTTTTTAAGGAGAGAGTGGGAGGTTCTCTTTGGTTCAACTACGTATTACACTAAGGTAAGACACTCCTCTCTTTTTATCAGGGCTAGTTCAGAAAAATTCAAGATTACTGTCAGTGACAGTCTTACAATCCCTGGAAAAGGAAGAGTGATATATTCTCTTCAAAGTGCTGCTGGCCAAATACCCACTGCACAAAGGAAGTTGTGTGTGAAGTGCTGGTGTCTTTTTCATGTATGAGTATCTTATATCAGTTTCCCTGGATGTAACAAAAATTGACTTTAACATAATTATTTTTCTCCCTTTGATTCCTAGATTAGACAACACGCTTTGGATGGCAAGCTTCGGTTGTGCAAGTTTAGGAGTATTTGCTGGAAAGTATGTGCAATTGGTATCAATTGGTATTCATTATTTAGGCATGAAATCCTCTTTTTTGTGTGTGTTGAGGAGGGGGGGGGGTGTGTAAGGAGGAGGAGGGAGATGATATTTTGTAGGTTTTAGGTTTTTCAATTTCTATAAACCTGCTAAAGATATTAGGAGTGAACTTAAGTGCAGGTTGTTGGTGATGTGTTGAGTGCATAGCAAGATAGAAAAAACTCATCTGGGGAACATGATTTGATTTAACTCTTAATTCTCAGAGCTACAATCCTAATAAATATATAAAAGACAGAATTGTGATGGTGAAAGGGTTCATGAGACATATCTTTTTTATGTTTGTATTTATTGGACTTTGTGGCTTAATTATTGGTTTTATGATCATACAAATTTTTCTCAGGTTTTCTTGGAGTGTCTCCCTGAACGAAAGGATGAATGGATAACAAAGACAGCTAAACTCAGAAATGACTATGCCATGTTCAAGAACAATGTAAGATATTTCCATATTTTATTGGTAAAAATATTAAATAATGGCAACGGAAGTTTTTAAATCAGCTTCTACTCAATACAATTAGCCAATTTTTTATTTTTTTTTGTGAGAGATAAGGTAAGGTTTTTTTTAATATATTTTTATTGATAATACATATTGAAAAAAAAGAATTTGGATTGTCAATTTTGATATCTTGGGGGTATAGTAATATTGATATTCCTGATACTGTTAAGGGTTGGAGGCCCAGTGGCTTACAGCTGCTAGTAAGTATGTTTATCCTGACCAGTATAGTATCAGAGTTCTCTGATATTTTGCTGGTACCCAAATGTTAAACTCTTCTTTGGAGAAAGGCACTTGGAGATAAAAGTGTTTTTCCCAAGAACACAACACAATGACAAGCACTTGAGCTTGGATCTAGGTATGAGAAGTCCTGCATACTAACCACAATGCCATCACATCTCTAGCTTATGTGGCTGGCATTCAAAGTGGGGGGTGGTGAAAGTTATGTGAGCACAAAGCACAAAGTTTGATCATTAGAATTGGGAGAGCAATACAATCATACCCATCATGCCTGCTTACCATATTTCCTCAAAAAACCAGTCACGTGGTTGCCTATTTAAAATTTTGGCTAACAGGAGAGGTGCTGATTGAAGGGTGGTCACTTAACTGAGGGAGGTGCCTTTTAAGAAACTATGAACCTTCACTGATCCCACTTTAGTTGAAGCTTAAAAAGTTGCAAATAATTCAAAGTGGCAACAGAAAAAGGTTTTCCGTGTATGCCTAATATTTAAGAAAGTGAAGGAGGATATGGGTGCCCTTTTTAGAGGAGGGTGCTTGTTTGATATTATGGCCTTGGGTTGGCACTTTTTCTGGGAGGGCATTTAATAGAGTGTGTGTGTTTATTCAAGGAAATACAATATTTAGTTCCCCCTCCCCCTCCATCTCTGTATCTTGGCCATTCTGGTTACCACATGTCATCATTCAGTTTTGTTGCAAAAGAAAATTGAACTAAAGGTCTACTATTTATATTAAGCAATGCTTTCCTACTAAATCATGAAACAATATTATTTGTTCTTTGACTTCAGTGCCTGTTTGATCCAAATAAGGAAAAGAATGAGGACCTGGATTTGTCAGTCTTTAATCCTCTCTCACAAGAGGAAGCTGTAAGTACAATTGTGTGAGGCACAGAAAAAAACATGATATGAAATGAATACGTTTTTGCGGTAAGAGTGCCTGAAACCTTGTCCTAGAGTCTTTTTGCAAGTAGCTTATCAATGAGAACTTCAAGCAGTTCAAGAGTTTTGAAGGATGCCATACATAAATGAATATCCATCTTGGGCCAATACTTCAATTCTTTAATCTGGTCAATCTTACATCAAGCTTGAGCTTAACAGCAGAATTTTGAATGCTGCTACAGCTCTGTTGTTCCTTTTTTCATCCTTCACACTGACAGCTTACACTGTTACTATACTAGTTAATGTAACTCTGATTGCATTACTAATAACCTGGGCCCAGTTGTATAAAGGGCGGATAACGCTATCCAACAGATAAATTGCTATCCAGTGAGTAAGAACTTGTGATGCAGCATTGTCATTGCTGAATGTTTAACAAATCAGTTGTAATTATGATACATGTAGATATAATTTTTCTTACCTTTTAGAGCCCATGGAAACAGTACTTTGTAGATAATGAATTGAAGTCCACAATCAAACAGGATCTAGATAGACTGTAAGTCAATTCCTAGTGTAAGCTGTGTTGTATCAAGACAGCTACAAGCTCAACTTTTTGTTGTTGTGGGGGATGCAGTGGTCTAATCGTCAGTGCACTGGACTTCTGGTCGAGAGGTCCAGTTTCAAGACCTGGCCGGGTCAATGTGTTATGTTCTTGGGTAGCCCTTACCTTTACTTAATTCCATGTTTTTCACTCATAACTATGTCACAGAAGTTTGGTTTTAGTTTCCATAATAAAACTACTGAGCAAAATGGATAAAGCTTGGAGTGTAAATAAGATCTGATTAGAAGTAATTTAAAACTAAACCACTGTATGATGCTTGTCTAGAGCTTTGATTCCTTTAGTCACCAGTCAGAGGTAATGAGCTGTTACAATGTCTCAGTGGGAATCTACTGAATATACATCTGTGCAGCATCCTCCAATAGGCTATTTTACAGTTGCCAAGATTACAGTTACTTAGTTGCCAAGCCTTTGATTTGGAGTAAGGCTGAGGGTGACCTTATTGTGATAGAGACCAGTATCTAGTTGGCATAATAACATATTAATTTAATTTGAAAATCAGCATTGTTCTTATCACAGCATTCATCCTTAGTCTCACTTCTGTTCAAAGGCTTGGCAACCAAGCATGCAACTGAAAACTGACTATTGGGTTTTACTCAGAGATCTACTGAGAGATAGTTTGCTGTGATGATTATAGTCAGTAAAACAGTAAGAAGTACTGGACTATGTTACTAATAGTTTCTGCTTATACTGGTGTATGATGTGTGCCCATGCAATAATGCTTGAGAAGTAATTCGTAGTCAAAGTAGTTCAAATTAGCAATAAACACTTGTAAACAAAAATGACGGAGATTGATCTCACTTTGATTTCCTGGTATGAATATATATTTTGCAGATCTCCAGAAATTGAGTTTTTCCAGCAGTCAAAAGTGAAGTAAGTGGAACATTTAACACTATCCACCCTACGCCCGGTTTTGCATATTCTCTATAGTGTCCTCTATGCATTTAGTAAGGTGCTGACAAGGAGAATTTGTTTAACAATCAAGAGCTTCTTTACTGGTAGTGATCATTTTCTTTGTTTTTTGTGACCCGAGTGTATGATTCAGGAGTGATGTTTTAGAGAAAAAAAGTTACATTGTACCAATCACTTTTATTGGTTTAAGGCTTTCAAGAGGCTTTAGTTTTGCAAAGAGATAACCATTTAGTCCCTATGTTGAACATATTTTTTTTCTCAGGGAAATGATGCTTAACATACTGTTTTGTCATGCAAAAAAGAATGAAGCTTTGAGCTATAAGCAGGTACAATGTTCAGGGTTTTAAATATTTGTTACGTGCATAACCCAGACGAAGAAGAACCCTGTGTTACTTTTGAGAATTTGAACCCCAGTCAGTTATGATTTCACTGTTGGATAATCTTTATCAAAATATCTGCATATATTTTTCTGTTAAACCATCAGTTAAGAGGTGTATCATGTGCCCTGACTTAAACCTCAGCCTTTCATGAATTTCTTTTACAACTATTCACAGGGAATGCACGAGCTTCTTGCACCAATTGTGTATGTCCTAACAAAAGATGCGATGATCTATCAGCATATTGAAGGTCCAAGCTTGTAAGTGAGCTCCTTTTTAAAATTCTCAGATGTTTTCTTGTTTGTTCTGTTGAATTGCATGCACTAGTAAGGTAAAATGATAATACTATTTGTGTTTATTTCACAGGGGGATTGCCAAAGTTCTTATGGACCCAAAATACTTAGAGCATGATGCTTTGTGAGTGTTCTTGTTTTTTTATTATTTTTTCTCATCAAAAGATTCCAGATCTCATTTTGTAATTCTCCTTACTGTCTGCTATACAATTCTTATGATATTGGATCAGAGAATTTGGTATTGGATCAACTGATAATTCCCTAATTGTTATTTTTCTTTCTCGTTACTTGTCTGATTTTCTAAGGAGAGATTCTCAATTGGTCACTCAACTTAAATGTAGTTTGCATTTGGTTACTGGAACTTTCTGGAATTTAGACTTAAAGACAGATGATTTTAAACCTTTAACTCACACAAGTGATTGATATGAAACTTCTCCCTACAATATCCATACATTATCCAGCAAACAAGCAATGAGAATACCCAAACTTATCAGTTAGAGGTTCTTATCTTGATCTAACACCAAATTCTCATTACTAATTTACAAGAAAATCTAAAGAAGCTAGAGGGGAGAATTGACAATCACATCTTGGGAGTTTAAGGGTTAAGGACTCCAAGGAGTAAACCGTGGGTGACACAGTGGTCTAATAGTCCTGGGGTTGAGAGTCTAGGTTTCAAGATCTGGCCGGGTCATTATGTTGTGGTCTTGGGCAGGACACTTTCCTCTCACAATGTCTCTCTCCAACCAAGAGTATAAATGGGTACTGGCAAATTGTCAGGGAAGCCTGATGAAATTCTGGAGGGGGGGGGGGGG